TATATATACATGTTTTTCCATTGTATGCAAATTGCAAGAAAAAGATGTACCATTTCTCTGTTGTATGTTGGATTATGTAGGAAATGTTTGTGAACTATTCAAAAACAAGTTGAAAAAAGTTCCTGTGGATGTTTTATGTAGTATCCTGGCATTTGTATTGATAGTTTAAAAGTTTCACTGCACAATAAAACTCCCATGATGCTAAAAAAAAAAAAAAAAAAGAAACAAGCTTGGCAAAGCACAGGGACCGCGGTTCGATCCCCCAGCACCCCATGCCAGCCAGCCCCGCCCCCTGGTGGGCTGAGCTGGCCACACACAAACACAATAAATAAATGTAATAAATAAAAATAAATTAATTTAAAAAATTAAAAAAAAATAAAGTATCTTGTTAACTCAGTAAGTATGTAAGGCACATGCACTATTCTGGTACAACCCACTTATCATGCTGGACAGTGGAAGAAGATGCTGTCTCTGTTTTTACCATGGTCTGGAAAAGTAGATCCAGAGTACTTTGGTTTTCTGTGGCTTCTGTGAATGTCTGATCTGTCACCTTTACTTTCTCATGCCTTTGATTTGTTGGAAGATCTGGAGAGCATTGTATGCCCCAGATAACTGCCCTTAGGTGAACTTGCAATTGTAATTAATGGAAGTATTATCTTAGGAATGACAGAAGATACTTTGCTGGTTGTCCTTAGGTTGAAACATCTAAAACTCCCCCTCCCCGCCAACTGGGGATTGAACTCAGGCCCTTGCGCTTGCCAGGGAAGCGCTTATTCAACTGAGCTATCTCCCTGGCCCTCCACCTAAAACTATTGATTTAGTCGCAGAGGCTATTCCAGTATGCTGGGCTTAATATTTTGGCCTTTGTAATGCAGTTTTTTTTGTTTTTTTTTTAAGCATTGAGATAAAATTTAAGCAACTCACTTTTATCTTTTATTTTTAGATCACCACACTTATTAATCATAAAGATAATACCAAAAAGTCAGATAAAACTCTGCAAGCAATTCAACGTGTGGGGCAAGCTGTCAATTTGGCTGTTGGAAGATTTGTGAAAGTAGGTGAAGCTATAGCTAATGAAAACCGGGATTTGAAAGAAGAGATAAACATTGCCTGCATTGAAGCTAAGCAAGCAGGTATGTGGATATTGATTTGGAAGTTTGTTTACACCAATTTTGCAATTTTGCAATTGCATTGGAGGTGATGCAAAATTACTGCTTTATTTTGAGCAGGAACTTGTACTGTGCTTTAATCTTCTGGTAATGGATGTCAAGGACCATCTGGAGAACAGAGAAAGGCATAGTGTGAGGCAGTGCACCTCAGCAAATCAGTGAAACTTCAGTTTTGGTTTTGTTTTATTTTGTTTTTCTGAGACAGGGTTTCGCCATGCAATGCAGGCTGGCCTTGAACTCACTTAGGTAGTCCAGGCTGACCACAAAATCACAGCAATCCTCCTGCCTCAGCCTCTCAAGTACTGAGATTACAGGTGTGTAGCACCACAGCTGGCTGTGACTTCAAACTGCCCGTTATTCAGAGGGTTCCATCCCTGGGCCCCACAGCACGCTGAGATTTCAATTGAGACTGGATGTGGTGGCGCACACCTGTAATCCTAGGTCTTGGGAGGCTGTGAACAGGTGGATCGCTATGAGTCTGTTCTAGTAGTGAGACCGTGAACACCCTATAGACCCTTCCCTAAAATACAAAAAAAGAAACCCCAAAAACCAAAAAAAAACAAAAACAAAAACAAAACAACCCCCCAAACTTCCTGTTATCACAGTTCTCCACTATTGGTGGCACAGAGCATTTTAGAACCTGTAGTGTTTTGAGAACTACAAATAGTTCAGCTTTGTTGAAGTATCTTATCCATTTATTCTCTCATTAAATATTTATTGAATGCTGGCATTCAATACATAGCAGGCATTCTCCTAGGCCGTATGGGTATAGCTGTGTCCAAATCAATCGAAAGTCTGCCCTCATGGAACTCACATTCTAGTGATGGAGACAGACCATAGGTAAGTGTAATCATGAATAAAAAATAAAGCAGGGCAAGTGCGAGGAGAGCAGTGGAGACTCTTCTTCTCAGCTCCATCCCACTGACATTTTGCTCTGGATAAGTCTTTGTTGTGATGGGGCCTCAAATATATTTTAAAACTATAACTGGTGGTTCTTATACAGAAGAGTTGATTTTTAGGAAGTGTGATGTTGGGATTAGAGAAATCAGTTACGAGGCTGCTGCCGCAGATGGTGGTGACCTAAGCTAAGTGGTGGCAGTGGAGGTGGTGCAAGGTGACCTGGGATATATTGAGATGAAGATGGTGGAATGTGTGGTGTGACACAAGGAATCATGGCCAATCCAAGGCTTGAGAGTAGCTTTGCTGCCCCTTCCTGAGATGAGCAGGGGGCATAGAGGATCTTCAGGGGGAAGGAAGTGGGTGTGATAAGGTGGAGTAATGTGGAGGGGCCAACCAGTTACACACAGTCCTGGGGGTTTTGCGAATGACTTAAGGTTTTATTTGTAGGTAATAAGGAGTCATTGGGGAATTTTGAGCCAAATGAAAGGTATTATTTTGCATTAGAAGTCTTTTTGATACTATGCAGGAAATGGATAAATAAGGTCAGATCGAGAGAGGGCTGAGAATGAAGGTACAGAGATTAACATGGAAAGTTTTACAGTAAGAGCAGCTGAATTGAGACGTGTACTAGCCACCCCTATCCCCTTTGAATTTAGTGCTTTATGCGTGCTAGGCACCACGTCTACCACTGAGCCACACCATCAGCCCCTTTTGTTTTATTTTTGAGATAGCTTCTTGGTAGGATGACGAGGCTGGCCACAGAGTTGCCTCTTGAGTAGCTGAAGTACAGGTGTGTGCCACTGCACCTGGCTGCAGTAGGGTTTTTAAAGAGCAGGAAGTGCACACAGAATACTTTCTTAGGTGGCAAATATAGAGAACAAGCTTGTTGACTAAAGGAAACTGAAGTTTCTCGGTTGACTCTTGGGCTTCTAGCCATTTGCTAGATTAGACAGTAGTTTTGCTGTGGCAAGCAGTGGAGATAACTTTACTTCAGTCTCAATTTATGTTTTTTCTGCTTTTGAAAAGGATTTGAAATAGCTTACAATAAAAGACATGTTAAGCTGAGAGTGGTGGCTCAAGCCTATTAAAACCTAGCACTAGGGAGGCTGAGGCAGGAGGATCACTGTGAGTTTGAAGCCAGTTTGGGCTACAAAGTGAGCTCAAGGCCAGCCCAAGTTATATAGGAAGACCTTGTCCCAAAAAGACAAAGTAAAACAAAGCCAAAAAAAAAAAAAAAAAAAACCCAAAAGACAAAACCCAAAAGGCATATTCAAATGAGCCCACTAAAACACAAGATGAAAATAAATTTCCTGGAAAATTTGGCACACATGATTATTTTAATTATGAAATTGATCTCTATACTTCCTGCAAGGCAAGACAAAAATGTGAGAAACAAAGTGTTATATAATTCTCATTGTTTGCTGAACAGAAACAAACCAACTTGTAGGACGAGAGAGAGGCATAGAGGAGGGTGTTGTATTTTTTAACTCAAAGGGCAATCCGAGTCTTCCTATCCTTTTTTTTGTTTGTTTGTTTTGGCGGAACCTGGGATTGAACTGAACTCAGGCTCTTGCACTTGCCAGGGAAGCACTTATTATGCAGAGCTATCCCCCTGGCCATCTTTCCTATCCTTTATTTTATTTTATTTTATTTATTTATATATTTTTATTTTTTACAATTTTTTTCTTGGTGCTAGGGATTGAACTCAGGAACTTGCACTTGCTAGGTAGGCACTTAGGCCACTGAGCTATCTTCCCAGTCCTTATTTATATATTTTTAATTTATTTATTTGGTACAGGGTCTCACTATCAGCTTGGACTCATGACCCTCCTGTTGTCAGCCTCCCCAGCGCTGGGATTACAGGTGTGCATCACCACACCTGCTGAGTGCACCCAGGGCAGGGCTGGTACAGCATGTGGCGCCTGGGATCGAACCTTGGTCTCAGCACTTGCCTAACTAGGCATTTAGTCTACTGAGTTATCTCTCCGGCCCAGAGTCTTCCTATCCTGATGGGCCCAGTAACGAGCTGCGTGCTCAGTGTTGGGGGAGAGGAGGACTGGCCAAGCAATGCGCTCCAGTGCTCACAGCTATCTTTGAGGGCTGTCACCCAAGCTGCTGTGTGGATGGAGTCCTTTAGAGGACAGCAGGTGCCATGCACTCTGTGCGTCCCTTCTTGGGAGTGGCCTCTCGCAGTCCCTCGGGTAGGGGAATAAGAGCAGCCTGGAGTTACGGAACGTGGTGATACACTCCAGCTTAAGGCTGACTAGATCTGTGGCTGGATATATTTCTGCCAAGTCAGCCCATCCTTACCATTTCCTCCCTGAACAACTGAATGTTCATCCGAGGGGAATAATAAAAGCAGTGGTAAGGTACTTGGAGATTTAGAGCCAGGGTGCCCAGGTTCCAGTCCCACCTCTTCCACGTGCTAGCAGAGTGACCCTGGGCAAGCTGTTAAACTTTTAAATAAACTGCAGTGTTCTCATCTACAAAATGAGACTACTAATGCTATAGAGGTGTCTTGATAGGACACATTCTGCATTTGACACATGTGACATATTCCACAGATATTAGTGTCACTGTAGTCATCATTCTTTCCCTTATTCTTTTTGCGTATTTTTCTTTGGCCACCAGACAAAATTTATATTGTATATAGAAATGCAATAAATGTTTGTATGAGTAGCCTGAGGTTTGCACCGCATGTGATGAATTAGAAATGACCACTCTGAAGCTCTGAGGCAGCTTTGTGCTTTCTCAGTGAACTAATTTCTGAAGCGTCCATGCTCTGAGTAACTTCCTGATGTTAAGGAACCATCTGACTGTTGGGTGGAGCTGGCTAAATGCTAGCACCCCATGTGGTTAGAGTTAAATGCTTGGCGCTCCATTTGAAAGAGAAGAATCTAACTAATGTCATCCATGCAGGCTCATATTCTGTGGTGATTAAGAGCTACAGGAGAAATTAATGATTTCCAGAGTCACGGAGGAAACATTTTTATCCTTTGAGCTATGCTAATAGAATGCAAACGGATACTTTTCCTCCTGCCTCTTTTTCTCCTGGTGAAGTTTTAGTTCCAAGCACTTCTGTTCTTTGTATATGTTGCCATAAGAACTGTGTAATAGAAAACTATATTTCTAACAAATAAACTAAATGTATCCATGCAAAGCCACAGGCATTTATTATCTTGGACAGTTTTTGAGGACCAGGAATCAGGGTGTGTGTGTGTGTGTGTGTGTGTGTGTGTGTGTGTGTGTGTGTGTGTCTGACCTCCTTGCAGTCAGCCTATCTGCTGCGCCTAAGTTACCCAGAGGCTTCCCTGGACTGCAGGTCTTTTCCCCAGTGCCCACCCATGGTGCTGGTTCCTGCTGCTCAGGCCTCCTCTGGGCAGCTACTTCACAGTAGCCGGCCTCCCTCAGAAGGAGCACAAGGATTCCTTCTAATGGTATAACCTAATCACAGAAGCAACGTACTGCCCTTCTGCCGTACCAACCCTAGTCTGAGGACGGAGGGGACACAAGGATGGGGTCTCCGAGAGCCATCTCCGATGCTAGTGACCCCTGGTAGTAAAACTTCAGGGCTGGGGATTTAGCTCAGTGGTGCAACACCTGCCTAGCAAGTGTGGAGTCCTGAGTTCAATTCCTGGTACCAAATATAAGTAAGACTTCAACCACTGCCACTATACATGTGGCATCCAAATCTTCACTGTCTCTCTATGTGCAGTGGTCTACATTTTGTGTCCTTTTGTATCATTTTAAACTCTGGCTGTCTGAACTGTAGTTCATCATCTCCTTCCTATGCCCTTCTGAGTTTCTTTAAGTGACTTGTGTTAACAGCCGTTTTTTTCATTCTTCCTGTCCTTCTTTCTCACTGGTCAGGTTCTGACTTTATGCTTCCTTTCCTGAGTGTTTCAAAATCATCATCTTCATATTTCTGGGGCCACCATCCTTGAGGTCCTTGTTACCTCACATCCGCTGCTGAAATAATAGTCTGGTTTGGAGTCTCCCCCTCCAATCTATTTTATGTGTGGTCAACCAGACTGATCTTAATTACTGATTTTAGTCCTCTGACGCCTGTGGCCTGTCCATTAAGTCTCAAGTGCTTTTACTCTAGATCCTTAGCCTAGTGCTGGAGGCATTATTGCGTGATAACATCGACAAGAGGGCTTACTCAATCACTGGAAGCATGTGTTTATTGAGGACTTAAAAATTACTGTGTCTTAGGTAGTACAAGATGATTGAAAGTTTTAAAAATATCCTTGTTGACTCTAACAGTAAGGTGTTTTAGAGAATGTCACAGCCTGATTTCACCTTTGAGGAAGCCCAGCTTTCATATTGTCTTCTGATGAATAATAGCTGTTACAGAAATTAAAATGTTGGCTAGCAAGAATGAATTTCAGAGAGGGCTGGAAGTTCATTTGGTAGAGTGGTCTGCACTGGGCCACAAGTCTGGCCTCCAGCAGCAAGCCCAAGGCAGGGGCAGCTCTGACTTGAAGCCTGGGCAGTGAGGGAGGGTGTTTTGTTTGTTCCCCTGCTCAGCATCCAGGCTGACCAGCAGACAGACCTGCTTTTTGTTTGTGCCAGGCCATAACTCCTTGCAGCCCCACCTCCTGGACAGTATCATCCCTGGGCCCAAAGGCCTGTCCTTCTGCCCCCCTTGGGGTCCCTGCAAGCTCAGGCTCTGAGGTGGTGGTGATTGGCAGCACCTCCCTCACCTGCTCCTTCCTGCTCCTCCCTGCAAGTCCAGGGCTGGGCGCTTGCTGTGCTCTGATTTGGCGGCTGCTTTGGGCTTTGTGTCCTGGGACTTTCACTGTGTTGCTGAATAAGAGGCTTTTGGTTTTTTTTCCTTCTCCCTTAGTAGAAGGAGACTTTTCGCTTGTGTCTGCCTCACCACTGGAAATGAAAATTCCTTCTTTCTAACCAACTGGAGACAAAGGGCTGTCACAGTTCTCAAAAATACGTTGTTATTTTGTCAGTAGAAGGTTTTATGTGATAATTATCAAGGTGAAATTGTTTCTTGTCCCTGAAGTAAGACTCCAGAGCTGAGCTTTTCCTTTGTGTGTTATATCCAAGACCAAAGGAAAGTACGGATTTTTATGTGGTATTCCCAACTCTAACCTTCTTTCTCGCTTTTCTTGTTAGGAGAAACAATTGCAGCACTTACAGATGTAACCAGCTTGAACCATGCAGAGTCTGATGGCCAGATCACAATTTTTACAGATAAAACAGGTGTCATAAAGGCAGCAAGATTACTTCTTTCCTCTGTGACAAAGGTGTTGCTGCTGGCAGACCGAGTAGTTATCAAACAGATAATAACATCAAGGAATAAGGTACTTGCTCATTTGTCTTTCTGGGTTGTTCAGAGTGTTTTTTAGGTTAATTACAGTTAATTCAGTAATTCTTCTCTGTTATCATTGTGTGTAGTGCTAATTGTCTGTAGCCTAAAAATAATTTTCGTCTGTGCCTGTAATGAGTCAGCAGTGTGCATATAGTATGGGCCTAATACCCGACCCCACCCATACTGAGAATTGAGCCTAGGGAGATCACACGGAGCTGGATCCTCAGCCTTTTTTTATTTCTTGAGACAAAGGCTTGCTCAGTTGTCCAGACTGGACTTGAACTTGTGATCCTCCTGCCTCAGCCTCCCAGAGTTCAAGGATGACAAGCCTATATTCCTGTGTCTGATTTGGACTTGAACTTTGGAATGCAAGAATGTTTCTTCTCGAAAATCATTATTACAGGGCTGGGGAGATGGCTCAGTAGAATAAATGCTTGCCTGTTAAGCACAAGGGCCTGAGTTCAATCCTTGGTTCTGCAAAAAAAAAAAAAAAAAAAAAAAAAAAAAAAATCATATCAGGAAATCATTACTGCATATGGAGCATAATTTTTAAATGTTTAGAATTCAGGAAGGAAAGCTAGGCACCATGGTTTGTATTAGTAGAAACCTAGGTGATAAAAATGCCGAATCCTTCCATATTTATTTTCAAATCAGAGAGTAATAAGTTATAAGCTTAAGCAAAATTGTATCAAAACTAATTATCCATAGCAATAAAATTTCTATATGCAGAGGCCGTAAAGTTCTGAATGATGGTAAAAGTTCAAGAATGGGTTTAACTCTTCCAGAACACATACAGCCCTCCAGTGCTGGTCTTGCTTCTTGGTCATCCGGGAACCTGGGTGTGTGTGGCGACTTCATTCCAGGGATGAGTCCCCTAGGCAGGAAGAAGAGCAGTCAGCCAGGGAAGGGCTTGTTCCAAGTAGAGTTTGAGACAGAGCTAGCTGATCAGAGTTGGGCGAATCAAAAAGTTTAAGTGTAAAGAGAACAAGAAGTGGAGGCAGAGGACCCAGCAGAGCTAGAGGAACGGAATCCATCTTCATCTCTGAGAGATGGGGGTGCTGCTAGGTGTGGCTTTCAGCCTTATCTGTGCCCGTTGCCTGTGCTTCCTAAGCTGCCAGGACAGGGTAGCATATCCTCATTAAAAGTAAGGAAACAGGAAATCTGTATTTTTGCTTTTTATGTCAAGAAAACATACCACTATCTGCTGGCATGACTGCAGATTTAGTCTCTCTTCGCTCCTGACTTCCTGCAGCTTCTTGGCAGTTAATTTATTCCATCGCCAATTCCAGATGATCTAAACTATTTTTCTACTCTGAAGTCCCTAACCTTCATTTCCATTCCACTTTGTAGATGACTTTCTTTTCCTTTTCCTAGGAAGATTGTGGCTCCTCCAGTTCTGGTTCTGTGAATAACATGCTGTGTGTGTTGTCTTTTATCCTCTTGGCCTTCTTAGCTCTTGAATACCTGATTAATGCATTTGGCCATTTTTTTTGTTGCTATAACAAAATACCTTATGGTAGTGTTACGTACTTTATAAAGTAAAGAGGGTGGGCTGGGTATAGCTCACTGGTAGGGCACTTGCCTACTGTACAAGAGGCCTTGCATGGGTTTGAGCTGCAGCATAACACAAAGGAGAGAGAGATGCAGCTAGGTTTATTTGACTCCCGTTTTGGAGGTTGACGTTTCAACCAATGGGAGTACATGTGAGAGACATCACATGGCAAGACAGGAAACCAGAGCCTGGGGAGGGGCCAGAACTTATTTTTCTCTTTTTGTTTGTTTGTTTGTTTGTTTGTTTGTGTGTTTGGTACAGGGTCTCACTACATATCTTGGACTCGCAGTGCTCCTCCTGTTTTGTCTCCCCAGCACTGGGAATACAGGCCTGTGCCACCATGCCCAGACTTGGTGGCTGGCTCAGCATGCCCAGGGGCAGGGCCAGTGTGGCATGTGATGCTGGGGATTGAACCCTGGTCCCTGTGTTTGCCTAAGCTGGTGCGTAGTCCCCTGAGCTATCCTGCCAGCCCCAGAATTTTCTTTTCATAAGAACCATAGGCTACATTATCCCTTTCGGAGGGCAGTGCTACCAGTGACCTGCCACCTTTCATTGACCCCACCACCTCTCATCTCCACACACAGGGACCCAGCTTCCAGCATAGGAACCCAAGGGACGCTCTCAGACCAGGGAAAACCATGGCAGAGATCATCAACTTGCCTGCTGCAGACTAGGCTACATAAATGAATTCTTGTTTTTGTATATCTAGTATCTTCAACAATTTGTTTCTTTTAATTTTCAAATAAGCCCAAGTCTTACCCTAAAAACAAATCATTCTCCAAATGATTCTAACGTTAAATCAGCTTCTACCCCTGCCTCCTTTTCAGTACTGAGAACAAATCCAGACCTTATGCATGCTACGCAAGCGCTCTTCCACTGAACTTAACCCTCAGCTCTGTTTCTTTAAGGTAGAATCTTACTAAGCTGCCAAGGCTGGCCTCGAGCATCAGTCTTCCTGCCTCAGCCTCTAAAGTAGCACGGGTTACAGGTGTGCAGTGCTGTACCTGGCTGTGATGCCCCTTCTTGTCTCCTGTTTTGCCTCATCCCAGCTTCCCCCTTGGACGAGAGTGTCGAACTTGTGGCACACATGCCAGCCAGGTGCTAGTTATCATTGAAAGCTCTGAGAGGTTTGCCATCATTGCTCTAGGATTTAGAATTTCCCTTTTTTCTTTCTTTTTTTTTAAATTAATTAATTTTTGTGTGTGTGTGTGTGTGTGTGTGTGTGGCCAGCTCCGCCCACCAGGGGGCGGGGCTGGCTGGCATGTGGTGCTGGGGGATTGAACCGTGGTCCCTGTGCTTTGCTTAGCTTGTTCTAAGTAGGTGCTTTAGACCACTGAGCCATCTCACCAGCCCCCCTTTTTTCTCTAACTCTGCCTTGATAGTCCCTGACTCTTTCCTAAGTATCACTTGATAATAAAATTTTCTTTGTTTGCAGGTTCTCGCAACTATGGAAAGACTAGAGAAAGTGAATAGCTTTCAGGAGTTTGTCCAGATATTCAGCCAGTTTGGAAATGAAATGGTGGAGTTCGCACATCTCACTGGAGATAGACAAAATGTGCGTATCTAGTACATCTCAGCATCTTCAGATAACGCACACTACTTTTTAGCTTGAATGGGAGTGTGATCTTTGCAATCATCTCAGTTGATTTGTTTTTGCTTGTTAGACTTTGGTCTGGAAGGCTTTTCATAAATAAACCGAGATACAATTACTAGCTTGCTTTATGTTTTTGTACATATATAGTGCTTGAGTATGTCCCCACCGGAGACTGTCATACTTGCTTGCAAGCCCTGACTTGAGTACTTTGTCTTTATGAAATTTTGCATCTGAGTACTCTCTGGGGATCAGGCAAGTAAACCGAATCATCATATGTATTCTTAACAAAATCTGTTACATATTTCTGGGTTTTTTTTTTTTTTACCACATTAGGTTAATAGTAATGCCCTTGCTGTTACTTTACTTGCACTGGCTGCATCATGTGTTAGGAACTCAATATACATTATCTCATTTAATTCTTAGTTCATCCCTGTGAGGCCAGGTACCGTTCCTACTGTTTACATGTAAGGGAGAGGAACCTGTAATGACACACTTTCCCAAGGCCACCATTAACTCAGTTGTATCTGATTCTCAAGCCTAGGATTCTCAAACTACAGCATGGTGATAGTGGTTTTCCATGGGTCTGCCCTTCGATTCAGACTGCAAGTTCTTTAGTGTAGGTATTCTTTGTCGGGATATTGGTACGTGACTCCATCTTGTCAGCAGGTTAAATATGTATTACTTGCCTGTTTTTTGAGATGTTTCTTGACTTTTTTGAGATGTCCCTCTATTAGTTAGACTTCCATTACTGAGACAAAATCGCTGATATAACCAAGGAAGAAAGCTTTTGTTTCTTTGGTTGTGGGGGTGTTTGGCTCACAGGGTCAGAAGCTTCAGTGCACGGCCAGCGGCTTTACTCCTTTAAGGAGTGTGCTGAGGCAGAATTGTCATGATGGAAGAGTACGGCAGGGCAGGACTGCTCAGCTCATGGGCACCAGGAGGCAGATAGGGTGTGAAAGCCTGAGAGGAGGGAGCTGGGACCAGATAGGGCTCCCAGGGCTATGGCCCCGTGGGCTGCTCTCTGAGGCCTCACTTCTTTTTTCCATCACCCCGCAGTAATGCCCTCAACTTCTGATCTCATCAGGAGATTCATGTACTGATGTAGTCAAGCCCTGCCTTACCCATTACTTTCTGAAAATCCACTCAGCAACCAATCACCCCTTCAACTCGGGTACCATTTGGGGGAACATTTTGGATCTCTTGGCTGTACAAGTGCAATAGGTAACTCCCGTCATTTTGAACTTGAGCTTCTTTGTGCAGCTGGTGTTGGGGGATAGGTATTGGCCTGAAAAGTGGGAGACAGGTTGATGACATCTGTCTCTAAAAAAGCTGTTTCATTTTGTTTCACCCTCATTATTTCTTATAATACTCTTTTCTTCCTTTTCTGTCATCTTCCTCCCTTTCCCTCGTCCCCTATAAAATTATTATGCTGTATATTTTTAGAGTAATAACAGTTTATGTAGCATTTTGTTGAGCATTTTAGCAAGCCTGTTGTGGTTCATGGGTTCCAAAGCCATCTTTTCAAAGTTATATTTCCTGCCTAATCCCCTTTTGCCTCTGGACATAACTGGCAAACTCTCACCAGTATTTATTTATTTTTTTTGGTACCAGAGAATTGAACTCAAGACATTGCGCTTGCCAGGCAGGCCCTTGTGCTGCTGAGCTATATCCCCGGCCCCACACAAAACTTGTTGTGCCTAATGCTCCCCCCCAGGTAGAATAAAACTATGACCCAACATTTTAAAAAATGTGCACATTTTGTTTGAAGGAATACTTGTTTTTTAAATTAATTACAGGGGCCTGAAACTTACGAGCAACCATTTCAGCCTCTTATGTCTGATAAATGTTCATGTTTGTGAACTGTGCACCAGGCTCACTCATGCTCTTCTGTGGTAGGTCAGAAGATGCCAAGTATAGCTGCCAGCCAGATCCATTCGTTCAGTTCACTGGACAGATGTGCATTGGTGCTTACTGGGATCAGGGACCAGGCTAGGTGCTGGGGACACAGCAGTAAACAAGAGGCGGCTCCTGTGCTCTTGGAGCTTGCATCCTGGTGGCCGTGCGAGGAGATAGGTAATGAAACAATCGTTGAGTGCTGGTAACTGAAACATCAGGGGTGAGCTGGAATAAGGGCAGGCTGTGCTTAGATTGAGTACCAGTTATAATAGTTTAGAAAAATTTCTCCTGGCTTCTTTCATTCCTAATAGCATTACTGAAATTTTGAGTATTTTGCTGTTGAGAAAATGATTTTTCAAGAAATTGGGTTGTTTATATGCTCTTGGACTGCTGGGTGATTTTATTTCACTTTTAGGATTTGAAAGATGAAAAGAAGAAGGCAAAGATGGCAGCAGCCCGAGCAGTGCTTGAGAAGTGCACAATGATGCTTCTCACAGCATCAAAGGTAAGAAGGGTCATGCTTTACTTTGTTGTAAACTAATGAGAAAACTTGATTAAATCTAACTTACATATTTTACTTTTTGAAAAGATTAAGGGGGTGACTGAGCGTGGGGGCCTGCGTTGCTCAGTCTCAGCTCCTGTGTACAAGCAGGCTAACCGCCTTCCCCAGCTCCAAAGAGTCAAAAGCCCAGTCAGGGTGACTGGCTGCCGGGCAGCAAAAGACAGGTCCGTGAGCACGCCTGTCCCACACAGCACTGGCCTGCCGCCGAGGACCCAGCCACTCACGCTCCTGAGAAGGCTGGGTGTGATGGCTTCGCTTAGTAACAGGGAGTAGGAGTCCAAAATAAACCCTGTTTATTCTGTAGCTTCATGTGATATGTTTCATTCCTTTTTTCTACTTTAGCACATTTGTCAGTCATGAGCTTGTAGTTCCAGATAGTAATTGGTCCCAAATTGGTACAGTTTAGGAATGCGTAAGCTGGGCGTGGTGGTGCATGCCTGTGATCCCTGCTGTCTGGGAGGCAGAGGCAGGAGGATCATGAACGCAAGCCTCACCTGGACAATTTAGTGATGTAGTGAGACACTGTCTTAAAGTAAAAAGAAAACAAAATTCTATGGGAATGTAGCTAAGTGCAAAAGCCCTGATTTCAATCCTCATTGAAAAAACAGAGAAGACTCATAAATATCTCATTAAGAGTTTGTTTAGAATTGCCTTTTCTTCTGAGAGCATATGCTCCATGCCAGGATCCTTAAAACCCTAAAAGCACACTCCATGGTGCCCACTCGGAGAGCTCTGTTTGTATCAGGCCCTTGAGGAGTTTCCGTTTGTATCATCTTTTAAAAACCAACGATGCCACCACCATCACGTATCATCGTGTTCATTTTCCTCATTCTTTTTCAGTTCTTGCATGTATAAGCGCATTGATAAGTAGCTGTAATCATGATAAAGAATATTTTTTGCAACAATTTTAGGTGAACTTGTTGTTGAAGTGTAAAGATGTAGTTTTGCACTCTGCGTTTTCACTTAACCTTGCTATCGCTTTTTACTCATCCTGCTTCCACTGTAGTGAGGAGAGGCAGCTGGGGGAGCCAGGGACCCAGGAGACTTGGGTAAAGAACCATTTTTATTAGCATGACACATTCTCTGTCAGATTTTATGTGTTAGGAGCTGGATCACGCACTAAAGTAAACATTTTCAATTGTTTTGAAGACATGTCTCAGGCATCCTAACTGTGAATCAGCCCATAAAAACAAAGGAGGAGTGTTTAACCGAATGAAAGTGGCACTGGATAAGGTCATTGAAATTGTGACTGACTGCAAGCCACATGGAGAGGCTGACATTTCATCCATCAGCATTTTTCGTGCAATTAAAGAATTCAAGGTAGGAATGGAGAATATTTTTATTTTTTTTTCCTTCCATTTTAAGGCACCATTGTCATGTACGAAGTCCTTGTTGTGTAATAATTTAGGATGACACTTCATAAAAGCAGATCTATCACCTTAAAGCAGTGCTTTCACAAACCTTGTGTTTGCTAATATTTGGTTTAGTGTTACATTTACTAAAGATACTGGTCTTGTTCTCTCTGTCTCTCTTATCTATTGATTGGACTCAAGGTGGTCTAGCTACGCAATTTTGACTCCTAGTGATCCTTCTGTCTTAGCCTCCCCAGTGCTGGGATCACAGGTGTTCACCACCATACCCGGTTTCTGTGGCTGGCATGGCATGCGGTACGAGGGATCAAACCCACATCCTTGTGATTGCCAGGCAAGCACTTAAACTGCTGAGCTATCTCTCCAGCTCCCGCAACTTTATTGAAGCATGGTCTTACTAAGTTCCCCAGGCTAGGCTCAAGTTCCCTCAGGCTGCCTCATTCCCAGCTTGAATCTTGTTTCTGATAGGTACTCCAGAACTGCTGAACTGTATAGTCTATTTGTACCCATTTGGAACGATGTTGCCTTCCATTTTCTGAGCAGTGCTACATCATCCTTGATGACAAACAGCTAAATCACCCAAAGAATCATATACAAAGAGCACAGGAATTCTGTCCACACACTAAAGACCAAACAATCCAGCTGAGGGCCTGGATCCTAATACCCTGCATGAATCTAGCTGAAAACCTACAGCTCAAAACAGTGCCTTCTACAGGTCCAAGTGGAGGCCAAGAACCTATGACAGTGTCTCATGCAGGCCTGTTTTATGGATCTGCACTGGGAAGGCCCAAAGATAGAAGATAGAAAGTCGGTGCTAGTGGGAAGGATCTATGCTAGCAGACTGAGGGAAGCTATGCTCAAGATGAGAACCAGGGCTCCTCCAAATGAACTGCAGCCATTCTCAGCGACCAGGTCCTGACTTCCTCCTTCAGTAAGAATAGCCAAGTTCATCCAGAAAGCCAGCATGACAAGGTCCCTCAGCAGAACAGCCCAAGAGAACTAGCAGCTTGAACAGCTTCTCCAAACAGCTTCACTGACAGCCTCTCAAACAGCTCTGCTTTTTATGCTGCTGGAAACAATCCTCAGGTGGGCCTCCCTCACCTAGCACCATGCTAGTTCAGTTCAGCTGGCTGTAACAAGTTGACCACCAGTTCGCAATCCATCCCATCTCCCCACTCAACAGTTGAGACTGAGAAACAGATGATACTGGCTTGTGGGCCAGGGATGGCAGAGCTGGGATTTAAAAGTGTCTGTGGCTCCATCAAGTCTGCTTTCTCGCCAGTGTCTGAGAAATGGTAAAGGTGGCCTATGGGTAAGGCCAGTGTCTGAGTTGGAAAGGCCCTAGAGACTCTGGTGAATTCTCGACTTATGAAGAGCGAAGGTGTGAATTTTCACAGGTGTACTGTATTTGACTCATTTTGTCATATAGGAATGGATCTCACTTATGAACAGTTCTCTCAGAAGTCATTCATAAGTCATGGACTTACTGTACAGCACTGTCATTTGGCAGATGGGGAAACCAAAGCTTTCAGGAGTTATCTAATGTGCTAAGGGTAACATCATTAGTAAACAGGCCTGATGTGGGGATGGTGTTTTCTGTCTTACCGCATTGTGACTTCTAACCATGAAGGTCTAAGTAGGGACACTGGATAAAAGAAAGTAATAAAAACATTTCTTTTATGGACCATGCTCTTAAATCTTATTTAATCCTTAACTACCCTTTAATGTGGCTATAATGATACCTTTCTCTTGAGGAAGAAAGCTAATCAGTGGCAAAACCTTTCTTTAGATCTGAAACAATCTAGTCTCAAAGTCCATAACTTTGTAGCTTATATCTCTGGTCTTGTTTCTCTTTTAGTGGTAAGACCTCATAAATGTTCTCTGTAAGAGGAAAGTTAAAATTTTAACATATGAGGAAGGTCCTGAGCTCCTCTGGCCTTTTTTGAGGTGCTTTGGCACACACCTGTAATCTGGCTACTCAGGAGGCTGAGATAAGAGGATCACAAGTTGTAGGCCAGCCTGGGCAACTTAGTGAGACCCTGTCTCAGAGTTTAAAAAATTAAAAAGGTTGATGACATAGTTCAGTGGTAGAGTGCTTGGCTAGCATGTATCAACACCCTGGGCCAGCCCTAACACTGCCACAAGTAGAGGGGAGTGGGCGAGAGAAGGAAGGAAGCAAGCAAGCGAGGAAGGAAAGAATGAATCTGTAGTGGATGGACAACTGGTGGGCCACTTGTATATTCAGCTGAACTGAATTAGCATGGCAGTGGGTGTGGCACTCAGGTGAGACTGCCACATCACTACGCTCACTGCTCACCATTTAGAGTGTAGCATACAATCCTCTATGGTCTTGTATTTACCAGTCTCTCAAATGGTGGATCGCACCTCCCCTACGCCACCTGCGGATTGTTGCTGGCACCATACGAGGCAGAACAGGAGAGGACAAGGTTTAGGTGTTATTAGGGAGCTGTTGGGAGCTATTGGTTCTCTTGAGGGGCTTGTCATGCTGGCTTTCCTGATGTGGATTTGACTGGTCTCATTGTCAGAGGAGCTCAGGACCTTGTCATCATTGAAAATGGCTATGGTTCACTTTGGGGGAGCTCTGGTCCTCACTTTGAGCATTGTTTCTTGGCTCTGAGGGGAAGATGGTCACTTCAATTTCCTGGGAAAGCTTGTCATGCTGGCTTTCCTGAAATGCACTTGGCTGTTATCATCTGAGGAGCTTGGGACCGTGCTGTTGTTGAGGATGGCTTTCCGGGTAACTGGTTCTCACTTTGAGCGACACTTCCTGGCTTCATGCAGACTCCTCAGCCTGCTGGCACACATCCTTCATTCCCTTGGCATAGACTTTCCAGCTTCCACTGCTGACCTTTGGGCCTTCCCAGTGCAAATCTGTGAAACAGACTTGTATGAGGCATTGTCATGGGCTCTAGGTCTTTAGCTGTACTCATGCAGGACACTGCTGTGGGATCCAGGCTGTCAGCTATATTGTTTGGGTCTTTAGTGTGTGAATAGATTTCCTGCAATCTTTGTATATGATTCTTTGGGTAACTATTATAAAATAGTCCTGTAAATTATGTGCCTTATATTGTATTGTTCTCCTTGCAAACCTTGACTACAACAGAATCTCACTGCCAAAGTCAGAGGTCATTTTTCTGACCTCATGATTTTATAAGTGTGAAGGAGAAAGTCTAAGGTGAAAGGTCAGGTGGCAACAAGAGAAGTGGGCAGGACTGGAAGCAGGTCTCCAGCCCCTTCTCTGCCTTTTCTGTCCAAGGTGAGCAGGAGCTGCCTGTGTGCTGCCCAGGCTGCCTACCTTCTGCACTGAGGCCCTGCATTGGGCAGAGGCAAGGTTCACAGACTCAGGCTTGTTGTCATTGGTTTCTTTTTGGCCTCCTGTTTTCTTCTGATGGAAAGTGCAAGCTATTCAGGGAAACTACTAGACCCGTTTGTGGTATTTGGTATTGTGACTAGGTGAACAAATCTTATGAAAACTTATAAATGAATAGCCTTGGAAAAGACCCACAAAACTATTAAATTGGTATTTAAATATATCTTTATGTTTTCTTGAAACATTAACATAGGTGATGAGAAATATATAAAATTCCTATTTTAATTATTTAAATTCTCAAATTCACAGGATCTCATTGTCCATTCTGTACCACACTATTACCATGTCCTTTTTTAGCTTGAGATACTTTAACTGGGATGATTACTGGTTACCACATGGGCTAAGCAGAGAAGGGAGAAGTATACACTCCTCTGGGACCTTTCGGCTTTCCCAAACTTGGCTATTTCCATGATTCATGGTAAAATAGGTTATGTGTGAGGTTTAACTTGAAATATTTGTGACAAGACCTTAAGCACAAAGCAAGTATCAGCCCCTCTTATCAGCACATTCACTGCGACCACTGTCATGGACCTCGTTCCTTTTTCCCTCTTGGCCTGAGTTGTCCCTTGACATCATTCTTGAGTCAGAGGTTAAAGTTAAAATGGGCTACTGTGTCCCGGGATCCATCACACACTCACGGAGCTCGGGACACAGGTGGCTGCAGGGAATTATTGGTTAGGGGCTGGGGAGGTGCGATCCACCATTTGAGAGATCGCTAAACACAAGACCATAGAGGATTGTAAGCTACACACTAAATGGTGAGCAGTGAGTGTAGCGGCGTGGCAGTCTCAGAGGGTTCACATTTCAGAACAACTATACCACCCTTCCCTTTTAGTAGAGGAGGTGTAAGCCAGTGAGTGCTGTTCAGAACATAAAACAGAAGGCTGAGAAACGGTGGCTAGCAGTTTTTTTTTTAATATTTATTTTTATTTATTACATTTATTTATTGTGTGTGTGTGTGGCCAGCTCAGCCCACCAGGGGGCGGGTCTGGCTGGCATGTGGTGCTGGGGATCGAACCGCGGTCCCTGTGCTTTGCCAAGCTTGTTTCAAGTAGGTGCTTTAGACCACTGAGCCATCTCTCCAGCCCCAGGCTAGTAGTTTTTGCTGAATCAGTGAAGGAAAAATCGATCACTTTCCCGGTTTCGCTCACCCTCCGCCCCTTTCACACTCACGCCTTGAGGCGCAGGACACATTCGTGTCTGGGCTTAACTTGTCGTCCAGGCCTTTGCCTGGGCAGTTTCTCAGATGCAGGTCCTTCACCTGGAGGTTGGCTCACGTTTCCTACCACCTGCTGTGTGATGGTGCTCGCTCTTAGTGTCCACTGACCTCCTTTCTTTGTCTTAACAGTTCCAGGAACGAGGCTTTGCACGACCATTTGGTGGGCTGTGTGTGTGTGTGTGTGTGTGTGTGTGTGTGTGTGTGTGTGATATTACAGATAGAACCTCAGCCCTTTCCTAAGTATATCCTCACCTTTGAGACAGGATCTTACTAAGTTCCCTGAGCTAAACTTGAATTGGTGATCCTTCTGCCTCAAACTCATTGGTAGCTGGGTTTATAGGCATGTGCCAGGCCATCGATAACTCTTAAATGTGTCTTCCTGGGTTAGTAGAGGCTGTAGTTAGCATCAGAGTTTGTCTTGCCCCTCAGACTGGGACAGAAACTGTTGGTGTTTTTGCTGGCCAGTTCTGGCTAGGTGGGAATGCTGACTCATGGAGATCCATACCCTTTCTCCTCAGGTGAATATTGAAGCTCTTCGGGAGAATCCTTACTTTCAGCCCAAAGAGAACTTCTCAGAGACATTGGCGGTCATCTTGGAGCAGACAGAGGACTTCACCGATTCTGCCTACACCAGCCACGAGCACAGGGAACGCATCTTGGAGCTGTCTACTCAGGCGAGGGTGGAACTGCAGCAGTTCCTCTCTGTGTGGATGCAAGCTGTAAGAACTCTTCTCAGCAAAGTACCTCTTCTGTAGTAGCATTTGTCTAATGTTTTAAGAGATGTGGAAGCTGACATCAGTATGAATTGGGTTAGCATGGGATTAGGATGTCTCCTCTCTTTCTCCCTCCTAGTTGGCCAAACTGTCCTTCCCTTCCAGCACTCACAGGGTGTGACATTCTTAGACCTATTGATTCCCCTCCTCGCCATTCTGGATTCTGTGCCACCATCACCATCTCTAGCTCCTTCTTGCACCTCTTGAAGATTCTGCCCCAGAGTACTTTTTCAGTGAAGAGCAGAGGGGAGACTCCTACCAGAGTGCCTGGAGACCTGAGTCCTCAGGTGGGAGCCACTTAGATGTGCACAGTTCTTCACTTAGAGGCCAGCTGATTGATAAGACACAGAGCTTTAGAATGCAGACTGGGATCTGGGTGCAATGAAGACTAGGTAGATCCAGCTGGCAGGTAAAAGATCCTGCAGGATCCTGCATGTTCCGGACCTGACTTGGTGGATCTCCGCTTCGTAGGCTTCAGATAGGCTGCTGGTGTACTTAAAACATGGGAGGCTCTTGTGGCAGGGCTACAACAGAAGTGGGCCAACATAGTGTGTGTCCAGCCTTGTCTAGCAGTAGGCTACAAAGGAAGAGACAGAGGCCTGAGACATGTCTCTGGCACCATATGTTTATTCCTTAGACCTGGACGGTGTCAAAACAGCATTTCATGTGGCTTGTAACACAGCAGGGAGAGAGCAAGCGTGAACATCACGAACACGCTCTGGCAGTAGGAGGGTGAGGAAGGAGGGTGACTGTGCCTGAGACTGTGGAGAGCTGAAAAGTTTGTTTCTTGGTAACTAGATTGATTAATAAATGACTAGATACGAGTCACAGGTTTTCTAGGTATTTCTTGCCAACACAACTGTGCAAATGGCCATATTAACAGGTAATGTTTCTCTATAGTAGTATGAGATTTGAGCACAATTTTTGTTTAGTTTGAATTATTTGTGTTATATTTAACACTATATAATTGCTTCAGTGTTAAATATTTAAGTTTAAGTGCCTGCCAGATAGTGCAGCGGACTAAAGTGCTTGTTCAGGCAGAGTGCAGTGGTTGGGGTTTGATCCCCAGCGTGCCATGCTGGAGCCACCCCCGGGGTGTGCTGAGATGGTAACTCAGCCATGGTGGCATGGTGGCATGGTGGTACATGCCTGCAATCCCAGTGCTTGGGAAGCTGAAAACAGAAGGATCATATTTTATTTTATGTATTTGGTACAGGCTCTCACTATGCAGCTTGGACTCATAGTGATTCTGCTTTTTCAGCCTCCCCAGTACTGGGATTAGAGGAGTGTGCTACAACACCCAGTTTCAGTGGCCAGCTTGGCGTGCCAAGGGTCAGTGCCACATGGGGTACTGGGGACTAAACTCCGGTCCTTGCACTTGTCTAGGCAGGCACTTAGACCTGAGGCACTGAGCTATCTCTGCAGCCCCCAGATGTATTTTTTACTTATTTACTTATTGCAGTTATTACTGAGTACCTTTTATATTCCAGGCACCAGAAATCTAAAAATGAATAAGATAAGAGCTTTACCTATACAGCATTGATTTTATCATAGAGAAAGAAATGGAATGGAAAGGGTCAAAAGAAAAACAAAAAACACTGCACCCTAAAAGAAGGTATAGAACACATGTCGAAAGGGTTTGACAGAGGATTAATTCTTATTTATGGAGAGAAATCAAGAAGTCTTCATGAAGGTACTAACATTTTACTGTAACTTAGTTTTCAAAGAATCCAACACTTGTGATCTGCCTCGTGTTGTGGATTCAGTTGGGTCCCAGCCTTCATGGACCTTACATGGAGACACAGACTTTAAGCAAATTAAACTAAAATTTAAAACAGTGTAACTGCAAAGTGGGATGATTAGAGAAATGATTAGAGTGGGCTATGAAAAGGACCTAATTTAAATTGGATGATTTGATAAGGTCTATCTGAGGAGATATTTATGTAAGGTGAATGGAAAATTATGTAAGTAGCAATAAAAAGGAGCAATTGTAATAGTACAGTACTATGGATAAATTACTAAAGCATCATAACTGAATGAAAGCCAAAGATATTTATGTAAGATGAATTGGATTTTGATTAAGACTAAAGTGTCATGTGCATGTACCAGTACCCCAGAATGAGCATCAGTATTCTGTGTTACAACACGCACTAATGTAAAAAAGCAAAAAAGAGGTGAACTTTAGACATGATGATTTTGTTAAAGAAAAGTTGATTTAAAAATCACCTGTTTATAATTAAGGTGGAAAAATACAACTAAATAAAATTTTATTTTTCACTGTAATCTGAAACATGTAAAATTTTTAATTATACTTTTATTATAGTCAGGTACTATTAATACTCTAATTTATAGTTCAAATGAAATTGTAATAAACTACAAGGAAAAGGTAAACTATGTATATACTTAATATTTTTAGCAAAGCAAGAAAACCAAAAGTATCGCTGAAGAACTGGAGCTCATTATTTTGAAAATCAGTCACAGTCTCAATGAACTGAAAAAGGAAGTAAGTATAGTTGAAAACTTAAGCCTTTTATAGTTCTTTGTTAGTTTTTGTGTTACATGAGATGGCATACATGTATATTACCGTGCCCTGTGAATAGAAAATGTTTGAAAGTTTTTGTCCTTGTTAGTTTAAAGCTACCATTTATTAGTGCTGTCATTCTCAAAATTTACATACATGAATGCTCATAGCAACTTTATAATGACCCAAACCCGAAACAACTTAAATTTCTTTTAATAGTGGTGTTGACAAATGCCTTTTGTTATAACTCTACTAAATACTATTTAGCAAAAAAGGAACAATAGTAATACATACTGTAGTATGTATGAATCACTAACGCACTTTACTGAATGAAAGAAGCATAATGAAGTGTGTGTGTGTGTGTATTTGCACTTAGGAGAAATTCTAGACATAGCAAAATTATTGTAAATGACAAAAATCAGATCAGTGGTTGCCTGCCATCAGGAACTGGTAGTGCTTACTACACCCTTGCAGATGTAGGCCGCAGAGGGCCTTTTTGGGGTAATGCAAACACCCTAGATAGTGATTGCGGTGATGCTTACACAGTTTATGTGTTAGCAAAACTCATCCAACTGCACCCTTAAACTGGGAGCACTTTTTTTTTTTTTTGTATTAAGATTATGCATCTCTAAAATTGATAGAGTATCATTTGGGTTGAGATTTCCCTGTTTCCAAACGAGAACTTGGTCATCGAGTGGCTTGTTTTGGGCCACTAGTCTTGTGACCATGCCAAGTGAGAGGTTTATTCCCACACTGTCTCTGGGCTGTTTCTGTATGCAGTGTATAGGGACACAGCTCTGCCATTTGGGTAGACACTGGCTACTCTTTTTCTCTGACAGCACAGTGGGTAGGCGCAGCGGAGCCTGTGTGGTCCACAAAGCCTAGTGCATTTGTGGCCAGGCCTTTTACACCTCTGCTTTGAGTTATGAGACAATCTTAGTCCCGAAATAAGAATGCTTACTCTAGTATATTCCTCAGTGTTTCAGTCTCCATTCAATTGTAGGTCTTTTGTATCAGTTACCTTCCAATGGCTGGCACCTGCAGCTTAAAGAAGGCAGGGTTTGTGTGGGCTCACGGTTTTAGAGGCTTATCCTTTGAACAGCTGGTTGTAAGGCAGAAGCAGCATGGTGGAAGGGATGGCAAAGAAGAGCTGCCCCACCACAGTAGCCAGGAAGCAGAAGGAGAAAGGAGGTGTCCTTCAGGTCCCCCCCCCCCCTCCAGCCAGGGCCCAGCTTCTCACAGCAGCACATTCAGCTGTGAACCCCTCCCAGGATTAACCCACTGGTGAGTGGAGGACTGTGAGCCAGTCACTTTCCCAAAGCCCCGCATGTGAATGTGTGAGTCCTGGGGGACATGGCAGAACTACACCTTAGCAGACTTCGCAGTCATCCTCCGACTCCTCCCCCCCCCCACCCCTTTCAGGGGAAGATGTGGTCTGTCCTCTCGTTTGCATCACTGTTGTTCTCCATGGTGTAGCTGCTGCTACTGACTTTTGCCAGGCTGGGCAAAGGGAGAGAAGAGAGGAGGTTGGGTGTGGAAGATTCTTGGTTTTCCTGGTGTGATGACTTCAGGCTCAGTAGAAATGTAAGGCAGACTTTGTCCTCTGAGGGTGTGCTAGGATGCTTCTCAGAGGCTCTCTTTCTGTCACCCTCCCGTATCACTACCTCCACTTTGAGGGTTGCCTGGAGCAGTCATAGCAGTCACCCCTCAGCTTTCCAGGCAGATCCTCCTCACAAAAACCACTCCCCTCTCCCTGCCCTACTTTTGTTTTATGTCTCTGAAGCAAACTAAAGGCTCAGGAGAATGAAATTGGGTTTTGGATATTTCTTTGATACATTACACACATAGTGATCACCTCCACATTGTATATGGTGCTGACACCTCTGTTTAAACATGTTTTTGTTTTTTAAGTCTACATATTCAATTTTAGCTGAATTTTTGTTGAATCTGAACTATCAGTACAACATGAAATCATTTGGAGATGGACTTTATTTTCCTAGCTCTTAAGTGGGTATAATCACATCACCCTTGGAGAACCCTCATGAGGGTGGAGAGGGATGGTGTATGTCATGCCACTCTCACGACATTGCTCAGAGCAGGAGCTTCATGTCTGTACTCTTGTCTTCCCTCAGAGTTGTAGTGAAATGTCCCTAGAGCCATTTATAAGAGTTATGACCCTGGCAAGCCACGCAGTCTCTATGGATTTGTCTCCTAATTTGTAAGATAGAGTTAGAGATGGGTATTTATGGATCCTTCTGGTTAAACATAGTCTTTTTAAGTTCTTACATGGCTCTTAATTTTCAAAGGCAGAGGAATTTTAATGTTTTTGTTTTTCACTATAATTACTTTCACTTAATTGCATGAGTGCATTCAATCCTCTTGTTAATTTTGTCAAAGTCCTATAATTTGAATTGACATTGGATTACTTCCAACAATAAAAGAAATTTCTTCATTCAGATAGGCTTAGTTCAAATCAAAATTTCCTTAGAACAGTATTTTCAGATCTCTTTTCGGACAAATCCAAAACCACCTGTCACATCATAAAAGGTGGGGCAAGAAGATTTTGGAGTTAATATCCGAAACTTTCCAGTGAGAGTAAGGTATGCTTGAAATCCATGCCACCAAGTGAAATAAAGCCCTCAGGTATTTGTCGTCCTTTATCTTTATTTCTGCTAGGAAGTAGGTTCCTCCCTCTCCCTCCCCGTTTTTTTCTTTTCGAGGCAGGATTTCTATGTAGTTCAGGTGAGCCTTCAACTTACTAGGTAGCCCAGGTGGCCTCAGACTTGTGACAGTTCTCATACTTCGGCCTCCTGAGTGCTGGGATTACAGACGTGTGTCATCCTGCCTGGTGCAGTTTATTCTGGGTAGCAGACTATCATAGGTTAGGTACCTCCAAGAGCAGGGATTGAGTCTGTCTTGTCGTGGAGGTTTATCCAGCTTCTCCAGTACAGTGTCTGCCATGATGTTGATACTTAATACCATTTTATTGAATACCTAATTGAATGAATTTCACATTGTTACTTAAAAGTATGCTAAGAAATGTATGAGTGATTATGAACTGTTTGATTTCCCTGTTAATGCTCTGAATGCCATATATATATTTTTTTTTCTTTGCGGTATTGGGGATCAAACTCGGGACCTTGCACATGCTAGGCAGGTGCTTATGCCACTGAGCTGTCTTCCCAGCCCTGAATGCCATATTCTTAATACGGTTCCATTCATTTCCAACTCCACTCCACCTGATGGTATCGTGGATTGAACCCAGGGCCTTGTTCATGCTAGGCAAGTGTTCTACTCTGAGGTATATATCTAATGCCTGTTCCCCTTCATTTTGAGACAGATCTTACCAAATTGCTCAAGCTGGCCTTACACTTGGAGTTGTACTGCCTCAGGCTCCTTGGTAGTTGGGAGTAAAAGCATGTGCCCCTGCATCTGGCTCCTCACTAACTTTAAGAGCTGCAAAGCTCTGGGTGCCATGATGTGCATCTGTAATCACAGCTACTTGGAGGTTGAGGTGGGAAGATGACACATTCGAGGACAGCCTGGACAACTTAGTGAGACTTTTTGTCAGGAAAAGAAAAAAAAAAAAAAAGGCAGCCAAAGCATTTGTCACCAGGTGCTATGTGGGAAGAGCTGGTTGATAATAGGATGGACAGGGCCCTGTGCTGCTCAGCCCCCGCGTGACCAGGTCATCTTCCCTGTGCAGCAAGAGTGCCAGCATCAGTGCCATTCATGAGCCACAGATGAATCGATGTCCCCCTGTCCTTAGGAGGATGCATCCTGTCCCTAGTGCTCTGCAGGCTCTGCTGTTACCTTTGGCAACTGTCACTTGGTGCATCAAGGGGGACTGCTTTTGAGGTTTGTCGTCTTTTTAGTGCCTAAAGAGCCTATCAGGTGTTCGGGCCTAACACCTTGTTTGTTTTATTCCTTCATCAACCATCACTCCCACACCTGCAGCTTCATAGCACGGCAATGCAGCAGGCAGCAGATCTCTTAAAATACCATGCGGATCATGTGGTTCTAAAAGCGTTAAGACTTAGTGGAGTAGAAGGAAACTTAGAAGCTTTGGCCGAATATGCCTGTAAACTCTCTGAACAGAAAGAACAGCTTGTTGAGGTGAGTACTGGTTTTGTGCTAAAGAAACTGTAGTTACAATTCAATAGCTAAGCTATTGAGAGAGTATTAACATGAGCACAACTTTGGTTAATTTCCCAGAGTATTCCTTTCCTTTGTAATGTTCAAGGTATAGCGTATGTCTGCTCTGTTCTTGACTGTCTTACATCTAAACAAAGCAACAGAAAGTGCTAGGACCCATAAGTATACTTCTTGATCATCTTTCCCTTATTCTCTCAGTGGAATTAGACCTTGGAGGAAGGCAGTAGAGGGCTACTGTGAGACTGCATCTGACTGAATCTGTTAGGGCTTCAGCAGGAAAGAGGTGGCCCACTCACTTCAAGATCATTCAGATACTTGGGAGGCTGAGGCAGGAAGATCATTGTGAGTTTAAGACCAGCCTGGGCTACAAAGTAAGCTCGAGGGCAGTCTGAACTACATAGATTCTTTCATAATTCCTAGAACACTTTGCCATTGTCTGCTAGGAAACAAAAATGGTATGGTGTGCTATACCTTTATTGGTTCCTGCTTTGATCTCAGAGCATCTGTTGATGACCGATATAGTGATTATCTGTCCTGTCTCAAAAAGACAAAAAAAGAGGGGGAAATCATTTAGCAAGGGTTTCCTAAGGGAGCCACTGAGTGTCTTGTAGGTGGACTGTGGGGAACCCACAGTGACACTGCAGTGACGGGGCTGAGTGGTGGCAGAGCTGTTACCACCCTGGCCCAGATTCATGGGGTGGAACCTGGAAGGACCAGGCATGGAGAGGCCCAGGGAGGCCCTACCAGGAAGGCCCACGGGGGTAAAGGCCCTTTCCCTCCTGCCTGGGCCCTTCTGTCGTGGGGCTTCCTGCTGGCCAGACAGCTGTTGATAACCTCAGTCTCCCAGGGCAAAAAGCAGATCTGAGAAGGGGGTAGAGAAGATGAAGAGGGACAAACGGGACATCTCGCACAGGACTCCTTCCCTGAACTGCTCCTTCTTGGGCCCAGTCTCTGTTCTGTGTTACTGGTATGTCACCTGCTACTTCTGTTACAATTCCTACTGGGCTCATCAGCTGATATTGTAAGGGAGCCTTCTGTCTAGTGAAAATGTCAGAACAATCTGAAGCCTATACTCTGTATGTATGTGGCGTATCCTAGCCAGTATACATGTGAATGCACAGCTAGGCGCTGCCTAGCCTTTTCACATTAGTGTGGCCCGCTCAACAAATCTCAGACTGGTGGGTGAAAAGAACCTTTAGATGAACGAGGTCAGCGTCCTCTGGTTTATTGTTACCATAGCAGCTGAGAAACCTGTAAGCAACATTCTTAAAATGACTATGGATTTATTTCTGGAATTTAATAGATTTAATGCTGTTGTGTTTATAAACCAAATATTTTAACTATTGAGAAACTTGCTAATTTTAGAAATCCTGAATCAAATATTTTTAAGAGTCAAAGTTAAAATTTTGCTTTAAGCTTCAAGATGTTCAGAAGTTTGTGCATGTATTCTAATTGCTATTTTATAAAATGTCTGTATACTTCAAATTGATAACATGAGAATCTGCAGAAATGAATATCCTGCTAGTTTAGTAATATTACTTTGCCTTTAGCGTGTTCAAAAACCTTTTAAAATTAATTTTCCATCTAATACTGTCCCTGTTCAGTGTTATATCCAAGGGGAAGTAAAGGACAGGTCTTCCTTTCTTTTGTGCAGTCTAAGTTCTAAAAGGCAGTTTTCAGGCATCCTTATTTCATTTATTATGGTCAACCAAAGAACTTGCTGTTGAGGTACAGTATGGGGTGAGAAGTTCCTCTACTATAGACTTTCTACTCATGACATCAGGCTGCCTGATTCATGGTTATTGCTATGAAGAGAGAAAGGTGGGCTTCGTTGATCATGATAGAAAGTGCTATTTGTTGATAGAACGTGTAGCTGTAATAACTGACAGTTCAGCTGAGCTAAATTTCTTCACACAGAAGATGTGTGGCACTACTAGATTCTTTCATAACTCCTAGAACACTTTGCCATCCGTGGTCTGCTAGGAAACAGAAATGGTATGGTGTGCTATACCTTTATTGGTTCCTGCTTTGATCCCAGAGAATCTGTTGATGACCAATAGTGATGATCTCACCAAAATAGTGCTCAAATTTATGGTTATAGGTTTTAATACATTTTATTTGTGAAATTTAGTTTTCTTTATAAAATAATGCTATGGATAAGAATATATCTGACCTGTAGGCATATTTTCTTGTAGACCTGTCGATTGCTGAGACATGTATCTGGGACAGAACCTCTTGAGATAACTTGTATCCATGCAGAAGAGACATTTCAGGTGACTGGCCAGCAGGTATGATGACAGCAGATTGCGCCTTCTGTATTACATCTTGCCTGAGTATCATAACAAATTGGGCAGAAGGAAGGTATAAAGGATTTTGTACAATTGGAGGCCAGTTTTACTGAAAGAAAGAAAGGTAAGGGCATTCCTCTAGGTAATGTCGCCTCTAGGTAATGTCAGTGAATGAGACTGACATTGCACTGGATTAGCTAGTCATCTTGACAAATAGCAGATTGGCTCATTTAAATGAAATCCTAAGGCTGGATGTGGTGGCACCCCTGTAATCCCAGCACTCGGGAGGCTGACACAGAAGGGTCACTGTGAGTTTGAGGCCAGTCTGGGCTACAAACTGAGTTCAAGGCCAGCCTGAACTGCGTAATGAAACCCTATCTTAAAAAGATAAAAAAGGGGTCGGCCTGATGGCTCAGTGGACTAAAGTGCCTGCTTAGGCAGAGTGCAGTGCCTGGGTTTCCATCTCCGGTGTGCAGTGCCGGCCCCGCCCCTGGGATGCTCTGAGATGGTGCTTGAGACTGGGCATGGTGGCGCATGCCTGTAATCCCAGCACTTGGGAGGCTGAAAACAGGAGGATCAGTATGAGTCTGATCTACATAGTGAAACCCTGTAGACCCTGTCCTAAATACAGAAAAAAA